CTGACTTCCATCAGGGTGAAGGCAAAAGAGCATGACTACACTCTGAGTTTCCTCTGGGTTGTGGACAGAGACTTGTCTTTATCAGGCTGTGCCTGATTTATACTAGAGGGCTCTTGAGGCTGTGCCTGGTGGACCTGCAGGTTCATTTTCAACTGGAATTACTCAGTTTTAATCCATTTTTAGGTTAAGGCCATGCTTACAGCTAGCCTGGACCACAGCAGGGAGTACCCACAGACATCCTCATTAGGACTTGCTGCCAGGTGACATAGCACATTGGGGGCACAGGTAACACCTTAGGCATTAACCCAAAACCACATCAGGAGGCAGAAAAATACATTTGACTTTTCATTCCTATCTACTGATGCTAGACTCTGCCTTACTTGGAGACTCCCATGTTGGGTGGGGAATTTCTTGACACAAAAAGGGCTTTTATTCAGAGGCCAACTAAACTACACCTCAACTACAAGCAAAAACTAACACATATTACCTATCTTTATATGTGTGTATGCAATATCCCTAACATATTCTATTACCCCTGAAGAGTCCTGCTGGCCTCCCTCACCAGAGTTCTTGAAAATTCAGAGAAGGGAAACATGAGGGAGATTTAGAGACTGCTCTGTAGCTCTGGGTTTGGGTGTTACCTGTCGGGCTGGGACAGCCTACCCATTGCTTTATTTGGTGAATTATATTCTATGGAAAAGCCTTTTTGTATCCCCCATAGCAAAATAAAAACACACACTCACTCTCTTTTTCCAGTGTGGAAGCAAAACTCTTAAGATCTCAGAACTGGCCTGCCCTTGCATTTCAAAATTGTTTCTGTGCCATGTGGTTTCCTGGTGTATCTCACAGGCAGCTTTCTGCAGGAAAGGAACACAGCATGTCTTTCAGTGCAGGCCACAGGTAAGAGTTCAGGCTCTTGAAGGTGTTGGATCTAATGGGAAGTCAGCCCTTTTTATATTTTATTTTGAGACAAGATCTCACTAAGTTGTTTAAGCCCTTGCTAAGTTGCTGAGGGTAGCTTTCAATTTGCAATCCTCCTGCCTCAGTTTCCTGAGGGATTACATCCATACAGCAGTGTGCCTGGCTTACATAACAGGGATATTTAAACTTTCAAATAACTAATAAGAAAGTTAACAACAAAATGGTGAGTGTTAAGCATGGTCACAGTAAGAGGATAAGAAATGCAGGAAACCAGGAAAAGAAAACTAAGGCAAGCAAAGCAGAAGTTACACTAGAAAAGACGGAATCCACAGTACTGGTATCAGATCAGAGGGAGGATCTATTAAGCTGAAAATGCTCTTTGGTAACTGTAAAGTTTGCTAAATCCCAGAGGAAGCCCCAACCCCCCCCCC